GTCAATTTATCCCCTGATGGAAATACATTAGCATATGGTGGTATAAATAACTCTATCCGAATTTGGAATGTAAAAACATCAAAGGAAATACTTCAATCAGATAGTAACTATAAAAATTTGCTTTCCTAGTTTAGCATACCTCTTCAAAATAGCTCTTTATTGCCAAATGGTATTTATTATTAATTATTATTTAGTTAATCCTTATTGTACAATACTTAGAATAAGCTAGAATCCTTTATTCCAAGCATCAGGAACACTTATCTTATAAGGACAATTCATGAATTATTAAGGGATAGATTTAAAACCATTGTTTAAATCCAAAGGAAGTTTCTTTTTAGAAAACTTAAAGCAAAAGTGAATTTGAATATTAATAATAAACATTACAATTACAATTTTAATCATTTTCTATGTTTCTTTTGTTTCAATTCTTGATCTTTAAATTCTTAATATTGTTAAGTACATGTTTTTCAATAGTATCCATTTCAAGCAGTTATTAAACCATTTTAGTTAAATGCTATTTAAATATTTGGTAAATATTGAGATGTCAGAAACAACAGCAATAAATTCATATTTATAGATGTACAATATATTATTAAATTTATAATCCAAACAGAGTACATACCTTTATTTATTACTGTTTATAAACAGTTTGAGTCTTAAAATGATAATTAATAGTTTGTATAATTTAGATTTTTAGTTTATAAAAAAGTTAATGATGCAATTAATAACAAAGATAAGAAGAAGGATAAATTTCAAGAATGAAAAAAATAAAATTAATATTATTAATAATCTTAAATGATAAAAAAGTTAAAACATTGGGATTGAATGATTTTAGAATTACTCTACTCTTATCTTGGTAATATTTTCGTCTGTTAATTATTATTTTCAATTGATATAATTTTGTATATATATAATGAACAGTTATGAATCATCCGTTAAGAACTATGTAATTTTACTCAAACTGATATTTTTTACAAATTAATTACTATCTACAACGATAATATCCATCAATTATTTATGAAATTAAGAAATTACTCAGGATTGATATTCTTCTCTATAACTTATAGATTAT